AAACCGGGGGCACTGGCATTTTGTTTCTAAAGTGTTTTTAAAGTGTACTTAGTGAAAAATTTGTTACTATAACGAGGGTAATGAAATTTCATTACAGTTTCTTACAGTAATCTATATATATAAATTTCCTACTGGCGTCCAACGAGGAAACAAAACTCTAAAACCCCTCCACACAACTCTACCAAAATTGCCATGCCCCAAGGACAACCCACTAGGTACAAACTAATCCACTCAGAAATCAAAACCACACAACAACAACCACAAAAAACGGCAAAACAACTGAGCATGCGCACTGGCGCAAACTCCCTGGCGCGCACACACACATGGCCCCTCACCCTCCCCCCCGGCGCGGCACACACACGCGCACGCGTGCCCCCTCTCCCCCCCGGCGCGGCACACACGCGCGCGCACCCCCAACCCCCCCGGCGCGGCACACACGCGCGCGCACGCGCCCCCTCTCCCCCCTCCGGCGCGGCACACACACACATGCACACACACGCGCGCACGTGCCCCCTCACCCCCCCGGCGCGGCACACACACGCGCGCGCGCACACGCCCCCTCTCTCTCCTCCGGCACGGCACACACACGCACGCACACACGCGCGCGCGGCCCCCTCACCCCCCGGCGCGGCACACACGCGCGCGCGCCCCCTCTCCCCCCTCCGGCGCGGCACACACGCACGCGCGCTCGCGCCCCCTCACCCCCCGGCGCGGCACACACACGCGCGCACGCCCCCACCCCCCCTCCCCTCCTCCCTCTTACCCTCCTCACGTTACCTCCAACTCGCCCCCTTCTAAACCCATCCCCCCTCCCCTCCTCCCTCCTCACCTTACCTCCAAGCCACGCCCCCTTCTAAACCCATCCCCCCTCCCCTCCTCCCTCCTCACGTTACCTCCAAGCCACGCCCCCTTCTAAACCCATCCCCCCTCCCCTCCCCCTCCTCACGTTACCTCCAAGCCACGCCCCCTTCTAAACCCATCCCCCCTCCCCTCCTCCCTCTACCCTCCTCATTACCTCCAAGCCACGCCCCCTTCTAATCTGTCAAGGAAGAATCATAGAATCATAGAATCAAAGAGTTGGAAGAGACCTCATGGGCCATCCAGTCCAACCCCATTCTGCCAAGAAGCAGGAATATTGCATTCAAATCACCCCTGACAGGAGAGAAAGAGGGAGGGAAAGAAAGAAGGAAGGAAGGAATGAGGTAGAAAAGGAAGAAAGGAGAGAAAGAGGGAGGGAAAGAAAGGAGGAAGGAATGAGGTAGAAAAGGAAGAAAGGAGAGAAAGAGGGAGGGAAAGAAAAAGGGGGAGGAAGGAAAGTTAGAGAAAGAAGGAAGGAGAGAAGGAAAGAAAAAAGGGAAAGAAGGAAGGAAAGAAGGAGCGAAGGAAGGGGGAAGATGTAGAGAAAGAGGGAGGGAAGGAAAGATGGAAAGAGAGAAGGAAGAAAAGAGAGACTGCAGAAGAGAAAAAGGAAGAAGGAAGGAAAGAGGGAGCGAAGGAAGGGGATAAAATGTAGAGAAAGAGGGAGGGAAAGAAAGGAAAGAGAGAAGGAAGAAAAGAGAGACACCAGAAGAGAAAGAAAAAGGGGGAAGGAAGGAAAGCGATAGAGAAGGAAGGAAGGAGAGAAGGAAAGACAGGAAGGAAGGAAGGAAACAGGGAGTGAAGGAAGGAGGGAAAGAAGGGGAGATAGGGGGAAGGTTGGCCACAGCAACGCGTGGCGGGTACAGCTAGTTACATATAAAGCCCTAAACGGTTCGAGCCCTGACTATCTTTGTGACCTCATGAAGCCTAGCATAGAGGTTTACTTACTAGAAGTATCTGTTAGTCCTTCTCTTTGCAGATATAACCATTCATTGACACTCTCACTGGCTACAGAGACAAACCTCTTTCTGCTATCCTGATTGGTGCTTTCCAAAGCTGATGCATTCTGGGAAAAGTAGTTTAGGGCAGGGCCTTTTGAATTCTCTGACATAGAGCTCTTTCCTTCTCAAACTACATTTCCCAGAATTCTGTGCTGTTCTCAGAAAACACTGCTCCCTCTTTTTCTTGCTTCTAACACTGAGATTTCCATTAATTTAGAAAAGGCAAGGTGATAAGGCAATCTTTTTGGTTTTGCTTTGATTCCCTGCACTGAAAATGAAACTGACTTTGCCCATGTATCGGATATCACCTCATAAGTATAAAATTTAACAAATTTGATCTGAATTATGAGGCAAATGGGAAAAAAGCACACCTCTGGTACAACAGCATAAGATAGACTTGCATTATCATAACATACTAACAGGGTACCGGCCATAATGTGTTTTTAAAGGTTATTTTCAGTAATATGCAACATTTTTTTTACTGGATGCATCCCCTAACAAGCAGAATATTGCTGCATATATTTTTCAGTTGCAGAACTGCATTGCAAAAGTCAGTGAGAATATAAACATGTAATTCCATCACAGTTTGTACATGAGTTTGGGAAGTGTGAAATAAGTTTGTTCATGTAATGATACAAACTGGAAAAAAATTTCTCCCCATACGTTTTGCCAAGTTGGTTTTTTTGCATCCAAATACTTTCTGTAACTTTTAGTATTTTCTGAGCAAATCCAACATTTGATTATGAATTAAGAACTTGAGGAAAAGCCAATCTTCAGTTGTTCACATATTTAGCAAATGTAGATTTCCTGTATCACTGCACAAATCATAATACAGTCATTCTTTGAAATACAGACATGGTATAGCTTTACAAATTTTGTTTCTCTGGACAACAAAATGTAAAGGTAAATCCATCTCCTGACATGAAGTCAGATGTCTGACTCTGGGGGGTGGTGCTCCTCTCCATTTCTAAGCTGAAGAGCCAGCGTTGTCCATAGATACCTCCAAGGACATGTGGCCAGCAGGCCTGTAGCTGGGGGGGGGGAGTAGGGGTTCAACCCCCCCCCCAAATTTTTCAGGTAAAAAAAACTGGTTTACTCATGAATTTTAACTGGTTAACCAAATCCCCATGCTAAGTCTATGAGATGCAAAAAATTAAGAGTCCCTCCAGAACTGCAAGCACTATCTCAAGCAAATATTGACAATTTATTCACACTGTCATTACTTGCAGCAATAGCCGATGTAGTGAAGCAACCAAGTTGGGGTGTGTGTGTGTGTTGAATGCTCTCATTAAGGAGGCCAGACTTGGTGGAGGTGGTTGACAGGGGCGGAGCTGCAGGCTATTGAAGGCTGCTCTGCCCCCTGCTGTGCTCTTTGCTTCAGCGTGAGCTAGGAGGCAGGTTTCAACCCCCCCCCCACAAAATTTTCAACCCCCCCCCTGAAATTTTCAACCCCTCCTGAAATTTTTTTCTGGCTACAGCCCTGGGGGCCAGCATGATTGCATGAAGTGCTGTTACTTCCTGCTGAAGCAATACCTATTGCATGTTTTTGAACTGCTAGTTTGCAGAAGCTGGGCCTAACAGTGGGAGCTCACCCATCTCCCCAATTAGAACCACCAACCTTTCAGTCAGCAAGTTCAGCAGCTCAGTAGTTTAACCCACTGCACCACCGGGGGGGGGGGGGGGGAGTGTACAACAAAAAATGAGTACAAAAACAATCTGAATACTAGGAGAAACTATATGTGTACACACAGAGACACATACATAACTTACGTAAATGATCCTAAGGAAAATCTATCATAAGTTTTTTTCAGAAAGTTTTTTTCAAAGGGGATTTACCTTTGCCATTCTCTAAGGCTAAAAAGTGATTTTCTAAAGGTCACCGAGTAAGTTTCAATAGCTAAAGAACTACATTTTCCAGAGTCCCAGTGTTCAAATCATTACACCACACTTGCTCCTATAATTCCTCAGTACCTCCAATAAATGGAATATGCATGTAGCAAGAACTATTCAACTTCACTCATTCAAGTGAACCCTCCTTAAGTAATTCTGACAGTGTACTTTAAGCATGTACCCTTAAGTCACAAAATCAGAGATGACATTTTGAGTACAGAAAACTATTGCATGTACTGCTTAATGGCAGCTTTTATGGTCATGTCAAGGAGGGGACAGCATCTAGGTAAACTTTCCAAATGGCAAAACAATAATAAATTATATTGCATTAATGGTGACATATACAGGTGTTTTTGAAAAGTCTGTCAGAAAAAAAATCTTCTTAGTCTCAGAATATATCCTTAGCTCAAAACTTCATGTGGTATATAGAACAGTTGAGCTCTTGAATATACATTAGAAAAAGCCTTATAGTCACAGATAAATTAATTAACTATTCTCAATGTACCATCATTGGTATAATTAACCATGAGTGCCAATTTAAGTTTTTTTTATAATTTTCAGTTTATCCCTTTTATGTATACATTTGGAATTAAAAAACCTTTATGGAAACATTAATATGTGTTGTAGCATGCATTTATTTTAATACTCATGTTTCTTTACACATTTGTTTTGCTTCTGCAGCTTAAATCTTATTATTACTCCCAAGTAGATTGAATCAATGGTATACTATTTACCTACGTATTCAACAACTGATGGAATGTCAGTTCTAGTTAGAGCTAGGTTTTCCAGCCAGAATTTATATTCACATTGCCTTCTATATAATGTTGATATATGTATGTGTATATATTTGTGTATATGTCTGTGTAGTGCTTTGAGTGTTGGGCAAGAACTCTGTGAGACCGGGATTCTAAACCCCGATCAGCCATGGAAGACCACTGAGTGATTTAAAGTGAGTCACAGTCTCTCAGCTACAGGGGAATGCAAAGGCAACTCTCCTCTGCCAAGAAAACTCTGTAGTAAGTTCAGCTGAAGGCTGTCACAAGTCGGAAATGACTTGAAGGCATACAACATATATACACATACATACAATTTTGCCTAGTCTTCAGATTTTTTTTATCTACAAACTTTGCTGGTGTCCAAAGAATTTTTTTCAAAGTTATGCCAAGTATGTAAGGCAAAGTATATTTGCATTATGATTTGTGTTGTGATACAGGAAGTAGCAATATTAGCAATGCCATTGTTGTCACCTACCTGTGACTTTCAGTCTGTCAGCTCCAATAACAATCTCTTCTTCATCAGCGGAGAAGAGCACCCTGCCATCCTCACTTGAACTCACTTCAAATCTTTTACACTGAGCTTCTACAGCATCAGCACCTAAAACAGAGAAAAGGACATCTTGGGTCAATTGTGAGATTGAGCATTTCCATTTCTACATGGGAAAGTTTCCACTGTTCCGTTTCAAATAAGTCCATTTATTACTGCCTTAAAAGGTAGCTGGGAACAGCTGTCCAATTTTGATCCAGACAAAAAGTGGTCAATGAGAAACCCTGATGCATGTAGACAAATGACAGGACATGATTAGAGATCTCTTAGGTCCCCACCTGATTTTCAGAAACATTTGTAAATTAAAGACTTAAATTTTGTGTTCTTGCATTTAATTTACTTTCAAATTAGCATTTTTTTTCCAACAATATTTTATAGATTCTGTTGCAAAAATGAGCCTGGTGTTTTTTTGGAACACAATACTGAAGCCCAAAGTTATAAATATATCTATATGGATACAAGTAGGCTACTTGTTTTTACATTACCACACCAGTTCACAAGTTCTAACACTAAGACACACTTCTAATGTAAGATCATATTTGAGATTTCCCACCATGTAGAATATATTGTTTAGGAAATACAGATAAAGCCCCATCTCTCTCTCTCTCAATCTCTCTATATGTGTTAATACACACTCATACACAAATCTGATAGGGGAAACTGGCTGATATCCTATAGCAGTTTGGCAAAGCATAAAGTTCCAACTTCACTTCTCCTCTATATGCAGTGTATCTGTCAACTTCCAGATCAATTTCCCACAATCATTTAGTGATCAGTAAACAGCCATGGGATGTTGTCTGGTGGAATTCTGAATCCATTAATTCAATAGGAAGCACAAAGATACTATCCTTCTGGATCTCCCAGATTAAATAATCCATTTCAGAATGGCTAAAAAAGATATGGATCAAACAGGGTTCGGCCCATTACATGTAAATGAAAAAGCATTGAAAACAATAGATACTGCCATAATAAAATACCTAGTCTTGCTCAGTGCTTAGGGAATCCTTTTGCAACCGCTCACTGTCTTATCTTGATGTATGATTTTTAACTGGTTTTTAAGTTTACACTTTAAGACATGATAGATAAATGAAACAAATGTATATAGTTGGTACTTCCCATTTGCAAGTGTTGGATTTATGGATTTGATTATTTGTGAGTTTGATGCTGCCTCCTCCTTAGGCCTGGAGCAGAAACTGCCAGAACTGGTTGGCTTGCTGTTCCTCCACCACTTCTTCCAAAGCTGCTGAAGGGGCAAAACAGCAGCAAGCTCCTGCTAGAGTTCATTAGTAAATAGGTTCACTGCTGCCCTGCCACTCCACTCTTGTCTCCTTGTAAGAAGTGGGGACATCTGTCAGAGTTGGTTTGCAAAGTGTTGCTGCCCTGATTGACCCTTCTGTAGTTTGGGAAAAGGTGGGGGGTAGCTCTGAATGTGGACAAGTTTTCCTTGTGTCACTGGTGGGTGCGGGGCTTGCTGTTCATTCTCCACTCCCAAAGTGGAAGCCAATTCATCCAATTTGTAAAGGTGAGATGTTGCAACCCAGCAAATCTTTTCCAGAGGGTCATTGTATGAGAATATGACCAAAGTATAAGGCTCCATAGTTACCTACGGACCCACCCTGGAAGATTATTTTACTTGGAAAACGAGAGATTGCCTAATGAAGGAATGAATGACCAAAGTCGCTTCTGATCTGATCTACTGCATTTTGCAGTTTCGGTAGGCTAAGGAGATGCAAGACTTAATCCTAGTGAGTGTAAATGAAGATATTTTCATGTTTAAGCCCTAGGACAAGGCCTGCTTGTAGCAAGTCTAGCACATCCTTTACTCTAGTTAAGCACTCTTGCACATCACAGAATAGTCTGGTATGTCTAACAGAAGTGTTCTTAGGGTCGGCAATTTCTTCAACTTTGGTCTTTACCTTCCCCTCTTTTCCCATCTCACACAGAAGAAACATTGGTGTGAAAAAAGAAAAGAGTGAGAAAGAGGAAAAAAACACAATTTGACTGGTGTTCCTTCAGAGGCATGACAAGAAAGGACAGAGGCAAAAAGGAACAAAGAAATGACAATCACAAGTTAAGAAATTAATCTATGAGAAAGTAGAGGAGCCAGTGTGCAACATTTCCTGCTTGAGGCAAAGGGAAAAAACCAGGAGAAAAATATTTTATAAAATAATACATATTTCCCTTGCTTCATCTGGGTGGAGACTGGAATTTGTTTGTTCCTTCTCTGGCACCTGGGAAACATGTATCTATCACAAGCATATTAATCATGAAGTCAAGGCGGATTACAAATAAACATTTCAGGAAAACCTTGCAAATCCTGGTTTGTTGCTTTAGATTGTGGGGCATGGCGATATTTGAGTGTTTGCCACCTTTAAGCTGATTTTGAGTCAGGCTCCAAATTTCAAACTGGGGGCTCTTCTACATAAGAAATAAAATTAATCTTAAAGCCAGCTTGGGGTTGAGGTGTCTATGAAACGTACACCACTAATGTGAGCTACAACATTGAATCCAGCCAGAAATAGCATGATCCAAAACCTCACAGGAAATTATAGATCAATCCATAAAATCTGCTGAAGCTCACCTGTGTATGAATACTTCACCGTGCTTATGTAGGCAGGGCTAACACTGCAGCAGTTGGAATAAGAGATGTACAGCTTAGCCAGAAGATAAACCAACACCTCACCCTTGAAAAGGAAACCAGAGGAAAAGTGTGTGTTTGTTTGTGCATGTGTGTGTGTGTGTGTGGGATCCATGAATCAGCCTGATCCACATTTAACAGATTTTTGTGGCCACCATTCCACCTTTCAGTTGGTTTGTGGAATGCCTGTGTAAACACTCTAAAGTGAACCAGATCTCTTAAATTGATGTCCTGACCTAGATAAGATGGCTGTCCAATGTATACTCTACACTTTTCTGCCATCCATTCTTCATGCGATTAACCCCCTTTCCCCAGCATTGATACCTTCTTTCCACAAACACTCTCCTTGTGAAGGAGATATTCTGGTGATAGCCGCTTTTGTCAACAGCAGGATTTTCAGTTTTAGACATCTTTTCTAAATAATGTACTGTTACAAGATAGCTCAAGAAAAGGAACTTCTAGTGTGACCTGGCTCTTTGCTTTGATCTTGGAGCTTCTGTTAACTTCACTTCCCAAGTTCTCTATTAGCAGAAGAGGTGACTGGTCAGCAACCAGCAGGGTAGGACCATTCAGGTCTTAAAGTACTCCACTTCTATAAACTTCAGCATCTTTCTTTACGGCTTTTTAGAGGGTTAGGTTTTGGAGGGAAAACCTAGTAGAAGGCTGATGAGTTGCAGAGACATTAAGAATTTGACACATTTTTAAGGAATGTTAATTAAAAAGTTTTCCAACTTATCTTTAGGATAATATGAACTTATTGTGGGGTGATTAGAGGGAAGCACATGCCTCATTTGTTCTGTGCTCACCCCTTGGAGCATTTTGATTACTGGAAGTATTAAAATAATGCTGCAATAAAACTGCATAGGCACCCGAACCCCAATCCCGCTTTAAACCAGATTTTAATTCCTATTTAGAAGAGCTTTCAGTATGTTTCTCTTTTATAAATAGACATATATTTCTGCTGTTTTCCTAAAATCCTGTTTCCAAATACTAAGCATAATCATCTTCATTATATTCTATACTATTATATTCCTGCTGAACATTCATTTTCTGTATTGAGATAGAGACCGACAGTTTCTCACCTCTCAATGTAACCATTAATCCTCATGGTAATTGTTCTGCAAGTGTTTTACAATGCTACCAAGCTTTCTTTTGAATTGATTTCCTAGATCTCTCTCCATTTAGATTTGCTGATTGCAAAGCATGGCTGAAAGCAAAGTAATAGATAAGGGCATTTAGAAGAATTTACTTTATAGCCCAATATAATGCGATGCTCTTTCTGTTAAGTCCATAACCTTCGTGATTCTAAAGTGGAAATCCATGACTGATGATAGGTCATTATCTGCATATAGAATCAGTTTATGTTCTACAGGCCCCATTCAAATACTCTCAATGATATTATTCATTCTTATTGATATTTCCGAAGGGCTAATGAGAAGACGGAAAGTAATACATTTTCACTTGATACACTCAGATGAATATTGTGTGTTTTCTACTGCCCTTTGATAGTATTTCAATAAAAAAAACTTGAACTGTGAATATTCATTTGATAGCATACCACATCTCCTGCATCACAAATGCTATATTTGTCATCTCTCAGGTGAAGGTTATCACCTATAAAGCTCTAAATGGTTCAGGACCTGCCTATCTTCGTGACCGCATCCACCTCTACGAGCTCACACAATCCTTCAGATCTTCCAAGGATGCTCTTCTCTTGCTCCCACACCCATCTCAGGTGTGGTAGGTGGGGATGAGAGAAAGGGAATTCTTGGTGTTGGCCCCTCATCTCTGGAACACCCTCCCTAGGGATATTAGGCTGGCACCCTTCCTATCCACATTCTGTAAGGAGCTGAAGATGTAGATGTCTCGTTGTGCATTTGATTGACAATTCCTGTGACAGATGGTCCCTAACCATGACCTGAATTCAAGTTCCTATTTTTGATTACTATACTTTTAAGTTAAGCTGAAATGATCCTGTTATAATTGCTCTATTCCTATGCTATTATACGTTCTATCCACTTTTTTAACCTGCCTATCCTCTAACTCATTTCCACATTGGTCCCCTGTCCCTCAAAAATGAGGCTATCTCTGTTGTTGCTTATGATGCTTGTTTATTATTGTTTATGGTGTTCTTATGTTGTTTTAACATTTTATTGTTCTGTTTTTAATTGTATGTTGCCTTGGGCTTGGCCCCATGTAAGCCGCCCCAAGTCCCTTCGGGGATACGGAGGCGGGGTAGAAAAATAAAGTTCTTCTTCTTCTTCTTCTTCGTCAGAATTAATAACAAATTTATTCTGTAAAGAATCTTGAATCTGGGCTTCAGGTAGTGAGATGTAAGCAAAGGCACAACCACCTCTGAGGATTCCTTGCAATTTGAAGGCATATGCACACTGGTACTACCGTATTTCCCTGA